ACGGTATGGTAAGTAGAATGTGTTCGTTTCACTGAACTGTCGAAACAAGGATGGTATGGTAAGTAGAATGTGTTCGTTTCACTGAACTCTTGAAACAAGGACGGTATGGTAAGTAGAATGTGTTCGTTTCACTGAACTCTTGAAACAAGGACGGTATGGTAAGTAGAATGTGTTCGTTTCACTGAACTGTTGAAACAAGGACGGTATGGTAAGTAGAATGTGTTCGTTTCACTGAACTCTTGAAACAAGGACGGTATGGTAAGTAGAGTGTGTTCGTTTCACTGAACTCTTGTTCTACTTACCATACCGTCCTTGTTTCAACAGTTCAGTGAAACGAACACATTCTACCTTGTTTCAACAGTTCAGTGAAACGAACACAATTTTTTGGTTTGCATATAAAAGGACTTTACAGTTACATGACAATGTAAAAAATTTGAACTGTTGATAAGATTGCATTAACTTCAATATCTACACTGATATTAATGGATTACTTTAGCAAGTTTTCTGATGTGTAATTACAGTCATAGGTAGCAATTTTAGTGATTAAGTTAACTTAATATTTTTAGATCCTATGGCAATTGAAGAACAAGTAGCAGTCATCTACACTGGTGTTCGAGGCTACTTAGATAAACTTGATCCTTCTGCCATCAACAAGTTTGAAAAGGAATTCTTGCAACATATACGTGGCACCCAGAGGGACCTGCTTCACACAATAGCCACAGAAGGAATGATCAGTGAAGAGAGTGAACCAAGCTAAAGAAATTGGTTACAGACTTCTTACAAACCTTTCAGCCTTAAGAGAGAATTAAAGCAAGTAGTTAAGAAAGCACCATAAATCATTCTCAAAAAGTCAGTTATGTAGAGGGATCAATCCTTTAACAAGTCTGGTTGCTGTAGCTGTAATTAAAGTTAACCATGAATATTAAAGATAAACTTTCTGTGGGGTGAAGTGTTCAGGTTGAAAAACAAGCAATTTTGTCACACAAGTTTTTTTGAATTAAAGAACATTTTAAGTGCTAGAGTTTATACTTTCTTAAATACATGACATTTATAAGTGTACAACTTTAATACAAACTCAGATTGTTTTAGATGTAACACTTCAAAGATTAAAAAAAAACATTGAAGGTGAATTAATAGCCTATCAAACTATGAACTTTCATGACAAGCAAGCTTCTAAACCCAGGTATTAACTTTACTGAAAACAGCTTCTCTGTTGAAGTTGATAAGAATAAGCTGTTACGTAAATAAAGGTGAGTGAAAGACAACTAAAAACGTTCATGGTTCATCTCTTTACACTGTAACAAAATGTTTCAATATAACATAATATGTGGATCCTGCTGGTAGTTAATGGTAACTTGGGGGTTGTTAACCTATGAAAATATTCCTTCAAAGAGTAATTAACAGCTTCGTTAATTTCTCATTCAATAGCTTTATCGTTAACATTTTCCTGTAACGCACTCCTTATTTTCATAAACCATGAATAATAAAGCCTACAGTACAACATAGACTTGGTCCACTGAACTGACCCCATGTTAGAGAAGAAAGGTTGACTATAATTCAAAATTTACCATGTGTATGTACAAGTCTGTACAAGTTAAAACGATATTTGTAATCAAGATTGATAACCCTAACAAATCGGAGTGGAAGGTGATTTTCAGGTGAAGAAAGAAGATACATTTGTTCAATATGTAACTTGCATAACCCTTAGAACCTGGTTGAGGTACAATGAAAGCTACACTAGCTTCCATTCTGAGAACATCCAATTCATGTAACATTCTACACTGGTTGAGGTACAATGAAAGCTACACTAACTTCCACTCTGAGAACATCCAAGTTATGTAACATTCTACACTGGTTGAGGTACAATGAAAGCTACACTAACTTCCATTAGTATAGTTACAAATTACCAAAATAAAATTTCTTTGATCTGACAGCACCTCTAATAAGTGTTTTCAAATAAATCATCATCTATACCATAATTTTATTAATCTGTATACTGAGATAGGACAATATCAACTCATCTTGCATGTCTACTCCTATTAACAAACCATCCCAATACCTCAGAGTTTATGGTAAGTACCAATATTTCTACTACTCGTATCTGTACAATCAATAATGTGACCCTAACTTCTCAATAAAAGAAAGTACTATTAATATTAGCAACACACTATCATTCTTGTAGCCCTCCTCTGAACCCTTTCCAACAATTCAATGTCCAAGACTGAACTCCAAATGTGGTCTGTACAATTAGATTTTAACTTCTTAAGGTTATTCACATTACACTTACAATTTAAATTATAACCCAAATGAATTACTTTGCATTTATTATAATTAAAATCCATCTGTCATTCATTCACCTAACTCACTAAATGATCAAAATCCTTTTGTAGAGCAGCAACACCCAAGACTTTAATGTCATCAGCAAATTTAAGTAATTTATTTACCATTCCTTGGTGTGAATCGAAATGAGCAAAGGTCCTACTATTGGACCTTGAGGCCCCACTTTTGACACTAATCTTGATTGAATTCCATTTATAACAACCTATCTTCTACACCTACAGAGGAATTTTTTAACAAGTCTTTCACATGGAACCTTGTCAAATGCTTTCTAACAATCTAGATACATTACATGTTCACCTGTAACCTCTTCAAAGAATAAGGCATGATTTTCCTCTAGTGGAACCATGCTAGCTTATCAAAATTTTAAACTTTGTTGAATGATTTTGCAAAGCATCTTTTATTATCAATGATGTAAGAGTAATAGGTATATAAATACTGGGACAATTTTTATCTCCTCTTGAAAAGATGAGTAACATTAGCTTACTTCTATTCTTCTGGCACCCACCCACTATTCAAAGACTTGGAAAAATAGTAGTAAGTGGTTCACATATCAGGACCTAGGGTAAATATATATTATCTTGCCCCGGATCTTTACCATTCTTTATAAACTTCCCAATTATTTCTTAAGAAGCTTAGAATTAATGAGACCATCTTTTTTTCCTTCTATTGGCTGTTTATGACAAGGAATAGTGCATCAAAATTGAAGAAAAAGTACAATTTAATAACCCAGCCATTCTATGATCGTTAATTATGAGCCTTACTGTAAGCCTACAATACTCAATTACATTGTCTGACGTGTAATTGTATCCGTGTTATTGTAGGTAATATTGCACGACATTTCACGCCATACTGAACTGAAAGTTATTTTATTAAAAAAAATGAAAGCCATTGTTTTGCATTAAATATTTCTATTCTTTATACAAACCATTTTTTCAGTATTGTAAAAGAAACTATTCTGATATTTAATACAGAGTTTTGGTTTTCTGTCTTAAGTTCAGATGACGGTAGTCGATATATTAACAGTGTACCTTAGAATTTGAGACTATGCAAGTTAGGATTTTCTGCCTGTTAAGATTACAATGCTGATGTAAAAAAAGTGAAATTACAAGTTCTTTTGTGTTTTCAAAGTTATGAAAAAATCTTATTCAACTGATCAGAAAACCTGCTATAGTTCAAAAGTTTCAAACTTTACTGGAAACTTTCATACTACAAAACCTTAGAAAACCATATATTCTTGTTTGATGCTGGAATGAGAATTGGGTTACAAGTTTAACTAGAACTCAAACGTGATTTTCTGTAATAACTCTGCATTCTATACAACTTTTTACATTTTAGTAAACATTCTCTCAAACTGTATTTAATACTTGATCCCAACTTTGGAGCTAAAATAAGGCACAGTGGAAACACCTTTTAATTGAAGGTGAAAAATTTGGTACCTTTTCTACTCTTTAAGTAGGTGCACATTAATCATTTCTCATATCTTACCTAATATTTACTGTTCTCTTGATAATCTCATTTCAATCATCAAAAGTTACTTTGATTTATTCAACAGGAGACAGTTTCAATCTTTAAGTAAGGAAAACAATACAAATAATGAAGGATCACATCTAATTAGCTTTTTACGATTTTATACTAAATCAACTCGTCAGTAATCATGATCATCTCTTGTTGAGAGAGAGGAGTACGTAACTCTTCCAAATAGAAAATTCAGAACGCTTCTCAAGCTGGAGGCTTTGTCTTTTGTGAAAATAAAGAATTTGGTAAAAAGTGAAAAATTAATCATCACTGGAAAGGTATCTTTACAACAACAGTTCTGGTAAATAACATGTAGAATTTTTTGAAGACTGATGCGAGGTGATGAGTATAACAACTTTACACCGAAGACATTCGTAGTGATAAATATGTGATGCCGACTCACAGCATTCTACAACCACTAATGAACAAAGTTTGTCAATGACTGGATCTTTTTTGGCTTGTCTGGTGATTTGTTTCAGTATTAGCCTTTTCCTTTCTCTCTAAAGACTTGGTATTTACTGAACATCAGAAGCACCTTCTCTGCTGTCTAAAATGCACAATGATTAAATATCTTCTCTGCTTCTTCCAAAGAAACTCCTTGTTCCTGTGACAGTGCCTTAATGATTGCCTATTATGTTAAAAGGAAAAAAAGGCACATTAGGCATTAAATAAAGCAGGTGTTTACAAGATAAAGTTTAATGTGGTTATTATTTCAATATTGCAGACAAAGTATTTTCATTGTCATTTTAAGGTTGCAATGTCTTTTTTTAAGTGATTATTGTTAAATGTTTCAGTACATATAATACAATGCTTCAGGTATAAAAACAGTACCATATTATGGTGGAGCTGCAGCACCAGGACCATTGCAAAAAATAGTCTTAACAAAATTCAAAGTACTGTGCTTTTTAATTATCTTAGGCCTATGCCCTCTTGTTCCATCTTTGGTTTGTAAATTAAAACAATTATTTTAATATTCATTACATTCAAGAAAGAATAGAATTATCTTTAGTTAATTACTCCATTCTGTCATTATTGTAAGTATTATAATTATTACCATATTCTTCATCAGAATTCTTAGTAAAATATTTCATTGAATATTTTTGTTTATAATTCATTTTATAAACAGGATAATGAATTATTTTTAGTTGCCTCATTCTTTATGTATAAGTAGCATTAAAAACAATGACACACTTGTGAAAACAAAATTATAATGATCTTCAAGTTTTTGTTACTAAAATAACAAATGTAAATTTGTTTGCTTGATTTTTATGGTTTTTTTATAAAGGTACAGTACAGTAAGTCCATCATAATTTTTCAGCTCCAAGCACACTAGACACAGAAAATATATTTTAGTCCTAGTTGACATGAATAGTTTTAATAAAACAAAACAGTTGATTTAAGGCTGGCTCCACAACAATTATTTTGTTCTAAGTTAAGACATAACTAATAATGTTTGCTTTTAATTCATCCTCTGTATTTTTTACGAATTTTCCAAATACGTCACCTCGGGAACCCAAACTTCAAAGACGTAAGCCACAACGTCCAGTGACGTACCAGGTTCACAGCTGGTTTTAAAAAGTTGAATACAGTACTCGCACACTTTTTCTTGCTGTGGGATAAAGCACTACAAATGTTAACTATTTTCACTTATGAATCAATCGATTTCACAGAAATTTGTGTGCATATTTAATTTATAAATATATATATAAATCCTTTATTTAGAAGTGATCCAACATCACAATTTATTGATATAGAACTCTTGTTTAAATGAAATTCTACAGTTTCCCATTTTTTATCATTACATTTTAAAACTTTCAATACTACAATTTTTAGATATTTAATTGATTAATCAATGGATTTATTATTGTAACCAGATAATCTTATTAGCTCTGAGACACAAAGGTAAAGGATTTGAGAGAGAATATCCAAACATGACATTAAAAGTTACACTTTCTTTATACACAGAAATCAATATAATAAAAGTTAACAATTCTAAAGCTTTAAATAGAAAACTTTCACAAAACCATTTACTACATAACATGTTTAAACACTAGTACACTGTATCTATAGTTCAACCAGGACTAAAACAAGTGCTTTACACACTCATACACACAGTGGTGGGATTCAGCCGGTTCGTGCGAACCTGTTCTTAGAATTTAATG